AATATTTCCCGTTTATAAATGATGCATGCTTCTTTAGTCTGGGTGGCAGCACAACTACAAAAATGCATTTGCAAGCATCTGGCATTCACTAGATACCTAGTGAATGGCTATGAAGTTTAACAAAGAGATCAAATCATCCAGGATTACACCTGACCTCGCTAGATCTTGGAAGTTCAGCAGGTTTGAGTCTCTTCAGGACTCGGATGGGAGACTGCCTGAGAACACAGGGTATTGTGGTCGGCTTGGGAAGGGAGGTAGCCAGGAGATTCGCAGCAGAGCAATGGATTGTTGAATTAATCTGTGCAGACATTTAAGCGTTATCTCTCTTCGTGTGCAAAATATCTTCCAGTTCTCTGGTTTCTTGCCACATGCCAAACGCTTATTTATGGGTTTGGACAAACATCTCCCTTTATCAGGACCCTCTTGAGTGAGTCAGTGTGGCTTTCCTGGGTAAATAAATAGCATTATTATTATGATACTCATGAAACCCGAATAAATACAATAGTGAGAGGAAAACAAGCCACGTGAATCGCAGATTAAGCTCGTGCGAAAATTATAACCTATTTTCGGTGACTTCCATAATTTGCCGAGTATACATTTTACCTATACAGCAATGTAAATCCCTCCAATGTTTTTGGGGCTTTTAGCTGTGTCTTGTTTGGCACGAAGTCCGGATGCTACGATCCACACGCCCGAACGCCCCTTTTAAGAACTTCTCCATCAGCTGCTGAAGAAAATCTCCCAACACGTGGAGCGCTCGTACAGCAAGACATCAGTGGTGCGCTAATGAATAAGCATAAAAAATACTCTTTTTATTTTGCCAGGTAAGGCCAACTGAGTTATGTCGCTCTTTTTCAGAAGCGACCTGGCCATCACAAATGATAGCTTAACGAAGTGGCTTATCCTCACGTGGAAATGTATAGCAGTCAAACACTCTAAACGCGTTCATTTTACACGTGGAGAGGAAAATCCGGAGGACCCAGACAAAAATTTATGGTGATCACGGGGAGATAAATCACGCAAACTCCAAATATACAGCAGGCGTCAGGGTTAGGATCGAACGCGCAACCTTCTCTATACCAGGTAGTTAACATCTCGCCACCGTGGCACACACTCTGGGATTGCGAGCGGAACGCGGCGTAAATGACACCTGTGTTTAACTCTGCGGCAAATCCCGGGGGGCCTTGTCAAGATGAACGATCAGTCCGGACATGGAAGATTCAATTTTCAGTCAGTGTGCTCCAAGGTGCGGCCGAGCGCATGGCGAATTGGCAGATCGTTTGTGGTGGGGCCAAGCAAGCGTCTCACCCCTTCATCTAACCCCTCCTTGTCTCGCGTACCAGAATAGGTCAAATGTCCCTTGATCTGCAGTGACAAGCGCCGCCGTGCGCCACGTCTTGACCTTTCACTTTGCCAACATTTTGACATGTCTGCACTTTATTGTTGGAGCAGCGGCAGTTTATATACCGTGGCTCTTGACCACAGTTGGATAATTACCGTGCCGCCCAATAAGAGAGATCCGACACCGCGTGGAAATTCAGACGCTGCGCGAGGACAATTAGGAGACCACAGAGACCGCCAGCGCTCTTGCCTGCCAGCGAGGAACGCCGACGGCGACCTGTAATTGAGAAACTGCATCACACGACTCGTCGCTTCGACGCCCGTGCCTCCATCTTCTCCGAGCTTCGATGGAACCCCCCCACGCCCACCCCGTCATTGTGCCACCAATCTCCATCGAGGATGTGACAATAATGACCACGGTTAAGCACGAACAGTTGGAATGTAGTGAATATTCATCCGTGGGCACCTCTATTTGCGCATTACGCACCTGTGAGTAACAGTGCGGAGTTTTTTTTTATTCTATACGATGGTCGACTCCAGGTGTCCCAGAGCGATTCAGGTTCCGTCCATTTACCGCTCTAACCTTTCCTTTGGCAGTCTAAGGTTGGGGGATGGGGGGATGGGGTGGGTTAAGGACATTCATCGAATGCATGGGCAGATGAAAAACGCTGGCCCATGCCAGCGACAGATGAAACGTGTTGTTCCGCACCAGCGGGCACATGAAATGCCCTCTCAGAGCACTAGCAGACAGATGAAACGTGCTCACCATCACCGCCGACCAGATTAAAACGCGTGCGATCGCACCGTTGGGGGAAGCTGGGAGAAGGTGGCTGGAAGTTGGAGGCCTTCAGAAGGAAATTGAGGAGGGAGTACGGGGCGGAGATTGGGGGGGGGGGGGGTCCGGGGGGGGGGGCGGTGGGGGCTGGGGGGGGGGGGGGGCGGGGGGTGCCGGGGGGGGTCAGTGGGCGGGAGGGCTCTGCGAGCCAAGCAATTTGCAGTCCAGAGTCCGATGTCTACGCATCATCGGTGCCCGCTGCCGATGGCGGTCCGACTGTCCTTCTCAATGGGAGCGCAATCATTCGTATTGCGGCATGAAACCTGACCAATGTAACGTACGCGAGATGATCATGAATTAGCCGTGCATGACAATGCACAATGCATTTTTACAATGGAAGAGGTTGCTGGGTGGTTCGTCACATATTTGTTGTATTTAAGTCACGGTCAGAAACGATCGTTGATATAAAATCAGCCTCCGGCAACGGTAAAAAAATAAAGACACGGACGCACGCAGCGTGCGTGCGCACACACATACTTTTTAATGACCGCTGAGTAATTCCACAACTGCAGCAGATTTCCCCGCTTCACCATAAGAACTTGCAATTATGCGCCCCTCTCGAACGCGGTCGGCACTTGTAAGTAGGGAATGGAAGGGCCCGTGGGAGGTGACGAATGGCCGCGGTTGGACAACCGTCTTGTTTTGGTCGTTTGGTATCTCCCACAGGGCAGGATGAATGTGGACTCGATAATGGCATCGGTGTGAGGGACCACCAAAGGGGGGTTTGAACAAAAAGCGAAAGTCAGCCCGTCGGGAGCCATGGGATTTATTGACAGGAAAGCAAAGAGTTAACGTAATTGTAAATTAATTGATTAGTTCTCATAGTATGATGATGATGATGATGATTATTATTCCATCAACTCCTGTCGTTTGGTCTGCAATCCATCTCACTCCTACATCAGCCCTGAAGTCATCAATCTATCTTCCATCAGCACGACGTGGCAGACAAATAATCTTCTATGCAGTGTATTATTTTTTTAATCAAAAATTGATTTATATTTTTTTTTACACTGGTGAAATTCCACTGGCTCATAATTTGAAATGTTTTCGTGGGGTAGCTTTGTGTTGGTCCCTTAAGCGTGCATATTAAAAAAGCAATACAATATTATGTTTAACATTGCTGATTGTATTTGGCGAATTACAGGCTTCGGGCCAATGCAATAATTGTTGTGGGAGCGTTAAATAATTGTTTTAAAATACAATTCTTGAAAGTATCTGTGTGAAATGCTGCCTGTACCAAAGGTAAATGTAAGCTCTATATACATGGAGCATAGGACTCTCGAGAAAATTGACATTAATGCCATATTGTTTATCATGTTTAGGCACAAATCCATACGGTTTTCTACTACTTCTGGAAACTGGTCACAAAAGGGCCATTTAGACCGCACGAAAATGTCAATAAACTTAAGGTTGCTGCGTAAATCAGGGACCGAATTTTCAGATTTTTAGTCGATTTCTCTCAATTTGCCGTCACCTTCGGTAGCAAATCCTGACATATTCTGCGTTTGATTTACAGCATCAAGTGCCATTCACATTGATGGGCGTTTGTTACCATTAATCACAGACGTACATGTGCCTGATGCAGATTGCAACAAATCTCACACCCAAATGACCACCGTATCACAGGTATTGGGAGCCACGGTGGTGAGACATTAACTACCTCGCCTGGTATATCGGACGTCGTGGATTTGATCCAGACCCTGACGCCTGTATATTTGCATGTTCTGCCCGTGGCCGCGTGGATTTTTCTCCAGGTCCTCCGGCTTTTCCCTCCTCCACTTTTAGAAAAGTGGTTTGGGAGTATTTGTCTGCTAGACATTTCTCCGTGATGATAAGCCATTTCGTTGAGCTATCATTTGTGGGCAGGTCGCTTCTGAAAAAGAGCTTTGTACCTCAGTGGGCCTTACCTGGTAAAATGAAATGAAAATAGTTAATAGTTTTACATGCAGTGCCCTAATTCTGCTCGCCAAATGCCGCTCGTTCACGTGGCGCCGAACGGTGCCTCCATTTGGTTTTAAATCCGCCGTTAATGCCAACCGGCCAGAGGAACAACACGACGCCACTTTTGACAGCGGGCGGCCGGTTCCGGGGTCAGGTCGACACGTCAGGCAACGCAAACTCCTTCACAAAGCAATGGCACGCGCGACTGGATGGAACGCAATATCGTGTGCATGTTAATGAGGATTAAGAGCACGTTTTTGCGTGGGCTTCTGAACACCTTCTAATGCTGTTTTTTTGGCTAATTGTCGCTCGGTCATGTATGTCTTCAAACGTTCTTGGCAGAAATTGCGTTTTATTTTGAAGCCCCATCTGTATGTATGTGTTAAGCACATCCAATTTAGCGATGATATAGTTACCGATCAGAACGCGACACTGATGCATGAAAAATAAGTGTGACCGTTGACTTTTCAGGTGGAGTTTTCTAAATGTTTTCGAAGCCCAGTGTAATACATATTTTAAGATGTGCAATATATATATATTTTAATGTTATTCCTTTACACTTGAGTAAAAATCCACACGGCAATCCCTGCGTTCTTTTCAATTTCAATGTCCCATCCCCTTTTCCTATCCATATTTCTCCCAGACCCCCTCACCATCCAACTTACTCATTCCTCCCCACAACCCCAACCCCCGTCGCCCCCCCCCCCTTTTTGCCCTACCCCTTGCAATGCTCTCTCATTTTTTCACCAAAATTGAATTCTCTTTGCCCCCCCCCCTACCCACAGGCGAGCTCCACCACACCTGGGATTGTGTCTAAATCTTATTCTACAGGCCACTGAGACCACGACAGCTGGCCACAGGAATTGGGAGGGGGGGGGGGGCTCAGGGGGGGGGGGGTTGGGGGGGGGTCGGAACGATGGAGCGAGCATGATGAGAGAACGGCGGAGGGGCGCTGGGAGACATGCACTGGCCGCGGATCTTCTCTGCCCTCTGCCTGTTGGCTGCCTGGGACCATGTGACCAGCCAGATGCACGGCACGCTGGGATTGCCGCAAGGAGTGGCGGCAGGAGACGGGCGAAGCCAGGGCCGAAGCGACGCGTTTGATTGGTTGCTCACGGACCGCGGGCCATTCCACGAAGCAGAGGAGTACAAAGACTTTCTCAAGAAATATAGCGAGGGCTACACCGTGCGATACAAAATCTACAGGTAACAGTGCTTTATTGGTCCGTGTCGTTTTTGTACAAGTGTGTGAATTGTAACAGATTTTTTCTTTTGGTTTAGGCATTTATTTCGTCAATGCAAATGTATTACGTGATGTTAATGACATTGTTGTAGCGCCAAAGCTGGTATGAATTGAACAAAACTTTTAAGTGAATAATTTTTCCATTTGTTTCTGTTTCCATGAATTGCTGGATTTAGAGCCCATGAGATCATCATCGTCATCAATAATTTGATAACCGTCTTCGCTACACATGTGGAAAACAAAGTCAACAGTGATTTCCTACACAAATGAGCATTGAGCCAGTGGGGAAAATTCCACATTCCTATGGTAGGGTTTGGGGGGGGGGGTCTTCATAGGGTAACTGCTGTCGACTTCCCCATTTAAGTGGTAGCAATTTTATCGACCCAAATGTTAATGATGAGTTGACTCAACCCGCTCCACCACCAGCCCTCACCGAACCAGGATTTGAACTCGTAACCTTGCCCACCCGCCTGCCTGCCCGCCCTGCCACCGGAGGCACCCGGGCGGCTGTAAATTAGTTGAAGTAATGTGTTTTCGGTTGGTGCCTGTGCACTCGTAATATTTGTATGCATTGCTTGTCAGTAGTGCTCGGCTTGCCGTGGCCACACACACTGTGCGGATTCATTTCGTGCCGCATTAGTGCACTTGCCGCGGCAGAAGCTGCACTCCTGCCATACTTTTGCAGCCGAAAGCCGGGGGGGATGCGATGCGCCGAATCTCAACAGAGAGGGCACTCCAATTTGTTTCGCTTTTGAGCCATTGAAAAACAATGCAAATGAATAGACATTTTACAAGGAGGCCTGATATGGGAATGCTGCCACGGTGCAGTGGTGAGCGCCACACTACTCTTGCAATCATAAGAGGTCGCCGGTTCAGTGTCTTTGCTGCGGCAGTTTAAACAACGGGGAAAGATTCATAAAATGCCCCCCCCCCCCTCCGGCCCCCTTCTCCCTCCTTTGTATACGTGGGTAATATCAGAGTCAATCGGCAGCTCACGTGTCTGTACTCCAACCATTTGCAATATTTCTGTGGTGCCCATGTGGTTTAGTTTGTTGTCATTCTCCCGCACCTCCGTTATGCACAGTTTGCTACGTACAGCGTGAACGAAGTTCAACCTCGATATATACACATGCACACGTATGGAAGAGTAGGCCAAAATGTTCTGCTAGAGGGGCTCTATAGAGCTTTCTCCATTGAAGGCCTCTTCCATCAGCAGTGGCAAGAGCAAGGCTCCACCTTAACCTTTTTCTTGATATCTTAAAAGTTGTTTTCACATCACCTGGACTGTGTAAAAACGGGTCACATTTCTTTGCTTCACATTTACACAAAAAACGTGACATATTTAGTTTACTCATACAATTACATTGTGCAACTGTTCTTGATAAATTGGTATTGTCAGGCCTGGGTAAGCAAAATAAATAAATAGTAAAAACCGTATTGGAAATTCATCACCTGTTTACTTATGGGAAAAAACATCAGACGCTTTCTTAAAACAAAAATAAATCAGGCCTAATTTCAAATGTGACACACGCGGGGATGATCGTTAAAATGAAATAAATGCTTTGTCTTTAGTATTTTGATGAGGTGTGCTAAAGTAGGCCCCAGCACAAGTGAGGCAGTGGGCAAAGCTGCCATGGAAACAACGAAAGTGCTGTCTAAAGTGATCAGCTTCGCAGGCACACAGCGTCTCATTCAGCAGTGCACACGCGCAATCGCCCACGCGCAGACGCATGCACAGGCAGAGACAAATATCTTAATTTCATCTGGCTTAGACTTATGGGCCCCAGAACTGTTGTCCAGAAGTTACCGTCTGCCGTTTACAGGCCCCAGAGGCTCCTCATGTATTTAGACATTGCACAAACACTCGTTTTGCCTTGTATTACGTTGACGTCGCCTTTGATTTAAAGTCGCCCGGAATGCGCTTGATCTCATCGGATCTCGCAAGCTAAGCAGGGATAGGCCTGGCCGGCACTTGGACTGGCGACCGTCGTGCACGATCAGCGTCGTAGGCGGCCGTGGGGCTGCAATGGCAGCAGATGGGCAGCGCCGCAAAATCTGTTGTTGCTGCCAAGTCCACGGCTCTGCACCGTCGCCAACCAGCACCAACCAGCGTGGTGAAGCGTGCCCAATAATAACCCCCACAAACCCGCACGGTGCTGGTGGGCCCTCATCTAGCAGTCGATTAGCAAGAGAGCCGTACCATTTGCAAGATTTCCGTGGTGCCCATGTGGTTTAGTTTGTTGTCATTCTCCCGCACCTCCGTTATGCACAGTTTGCTACGTACAGCGTGAACGAAGTTCAACCTCGATATATACACATGCACACGTATGGAAGAGTAGGCCAAAATGTTCCGCTAGAGGGGCTCTGTAGAGCTCCCTGGTGTTGAGTACCGTCGACGGCCAATGCTGTCAAATTATGGCGTTGGAACTTGCACCGTACCAATTGCCCTGTAGCGATACGTTAGTTACTCTTTGCGCCCTCGAATTGCTGCCATGGGTGTAGCGGCTTGCATGCTGTTCGATTCGATTTCCCGGCATGGCGGTTGAACCAACTGCCAAGTTTCTTAAATCCCCTCTGCCTCTGTCCTCCCGGCGTTTGTAAATGGTTGCTCCGTATTCGATCGGCAAGAATGGGTTACCTTCTTGGTTCTTTCGGTAAAGTCACGTAGAATGGAAATAATAAAATAATAAAAATAAAACATAATAAAATAATTCTCACGACGTTTCGGCCACAACGCAAGCAGCCGTCCTCAGGTGAAGACCAGGTCTGTCGGGGAGACAGCGTCTTGCGTTGTGGCCGAAACGTCGTGAGAATTATTTTATTATGTTTTATTTTTATTATTTTATTATTTCCATTCTGCGTGACTTTACCGAAAGAACCAAGAAGATGAATCCCTGCAGTCACGAAAGCTTTAAATCGAAATTTAAGAATGGGTTACTCCCACCTCTTCCAAGACGTCTGGCCAGCCTGGAAGAGTAGGCCAAAATACCTCCTCCAATAGGCGCCCTCCAGAGCTCCATCTCTAAAGTGGAGAACTGACCACCAGCAGTGGCGTGAGGAAGCAATTGCACGGCTGCACCTTTAACTTCATTCCAATTTTAGGTTTAAGTGCCTGGGGTGGCAGCACATGCTAAAGTATCAATACCAGGTTCAGTTGCTGTGAGGTGCTTAGATTGGAATTTGGATAATTGTATCGGTAACACGGTGTTCTGACCGACATGCAATCCAGCTGTGTCTCTCTTTCAAGTCCCATCGCACGCAGAACTAAATTTACGCATGCTAACGTGTTTATTCATGGCTCCATCAATTATCACACGAGGAACTGGATTAATGTGCAGGAGCATCGCTTGCATTTGGATTTGGGCTGCGTGTGTGTGTGTGTGTTTACTAAGCTCAAGTAATGCACTTCCAGTGATGAATGGCTGAAAAACGTCGGTAAAGAAACGTCTATTTTTTTTACTGACCTGATAAAGCAATTGACGAGCCTTTCAAAGCAATCGTTCAGGGTACCGTTTGCATTGACTGATCAAAAACATTAAAACAACTCATCAATCCTCGTCTTGTACTTTTCAAATGTGTCACGTTGTGTTCCAAAACAAATTAGGTCGTTAGTATAGGAAAGAATAAACAAAAATTTAAACATACGCTCGTGTTTTTTTGTGTTCGTTGCTTGTTTATATACATCACGTGCAGTCTTTGGACAGCGCAGTGTATCACTTAATCTCGTGACGCAAAATAATAAGTAGCGCCGTCGTGGAATATTTAAGCTACAAAATAAATAAGCAGACGGCGTATCTTTCCATCCGCGTAAAACAATTAAGTCATTTTTACACAGCCCATCAGCAAACACGGCATTCTGGGAGTGTATCATTTCAGCATGATTGGTTCAATGCAAGCGACTTGCAAAGTCTCATCAGTAGTGTCTGGCTTGCCTGAAGCAACGCTTGTGAACTACCAAATGTTTATAGGCAAGAGATCCGAGTTCGTCACGGAATATTCTCACGTGTGAAATATTTTAATCAAGTTCATACATCTTCTGCATTTAGTCAAAAATACGTGTCATCGTTATTTCAAAACAACTACGTTCTGTGCAAAGGTCTCATCGCGATCCAAAAACGCAGCCGCCCTCGTTAATTTTATTCCCAAACGTTCCCTTCTTTCCGTTCACATTATTATCTTGGAAAGATCACTCGGTGGCTTGTGGCCCCGTGGCCTTGCCCCCCCCACCCCAACGCAGTCAGTCTATTGGCTTTGCTTCTTTTCTTTATTGCAGGGAATTTGCTCGCTGGAAAGTGAGTAATATCGCGGTGGAGTCACGGGCGGAGTTCCCGCACGCACCTTTGCCCCTCTCCCCGGAGTTCATGCGCAGCGTGAGGCAGCTGGGGCGACGGCCAACTCAGCAGCAGCTCCTGGATAACTTCATTCGAAAATACGGCACGCATTATGTCGTCTCGGGCAAGCTCGGTGGTGAGCAAACGCCGCTTAACATTTACATTGATGTTCGATATTGCGTGCCGGGATATATTTCTCAAAGGTTTTCTAATTTTTTTGAATTTTCCTTTAACAAAAAATATACTTTTTGTTCCATTCCGAGATAGCCGACTGTCAGTTTATGGCCAATATCGCTCATGCACACAACTTTTAATAATTATATGATTGATTCAATTGAGCTGTGCCGGGCAGAGACTTTCCACGGAGCCAAAAATGACTTGTCAGTATGTGAAAGTGGAACATATTTCTTACCCCGGCATGTAATGGGTTTGAGAGAGAACATATAATTATTATACACAGCGAGGGCCTGATATCTCACTCCGCCAGAGCGAGAGGAATTTTTCAACCAGGTACATTAAACTACCTTGGGAATTTCAAAGTTATCGGCTTGGTGGGTACTAACACACGTAATGGAACATAGTGGGACACCAACGCAATTTATTTTGCCCGTGTGGCCATACCTATAATTTTACATCCTGCATACCATTCCCATGAGAAAGACCGCTGTCGTGCTTGCTAATGAGCTGACAAGACAAGGCATTAATTTATCTGGTCTTCTCTTCATTTATGATAATTTTAAATCCGCATCTATAGTCGGCTGAAAAGAAGGGTATCATTTAACATTGGTTACCATTATTATGGATGTTGCCATGGTGTCAGATATGCTACCCAGAGGGTGGCATATGCGATTGCACCTCCAGGCACGGTAGTGGAAACACTGGGCGAAGTTTTTTTTTTAATCCCCCCCCCCCCCCCCACCTATGCGTGCCCAGCAGTATAAATGGTTGCACTGCAGTGAGTTGATTGGCAGGTCACGTGTGATGGGGTAAAATATGGGTTTTCCCACCTCTTCCAAGACAGAATCAGAATTAGTTTTTATCCTGGAGATATCCGATGAGCTATGAAAGCTCTTCTTCACAGATGTCCAGTAGGGGCACGGGGTCATAAAGTAACAACAACCAAAAATACAACAACAAAAAAGACGTCTGGCCAACGAGGAAAGAGTAGACCTAAAGATCCCTTTTGGAGAGGCCCTATCTGCCAACAGTGTCAAGAGCCAGCAGTCGCAGAGGCCGCGCCTTCCCCCCCTCCCCCTTTTTCACCGTTATTAATCTGCGACGACACGCCCGTTGCCTCGCGCCGCCGCGCTCCCCGCAGGCGAGGAGAAGCTGACGATACTGGTGGACCTGGCGCGGCTCGAGGGACGGCCAGACAACGGCTCTGCGCAGGGATTGGAAGCCATCCAGCAGCTTGCCGCCTCCTACTTCATCAACCGCGAGAGCACGCTGCGTCGCCTGCACGAGATCCAGATCACCGGCTGGGCCGTGCAGGTAACGGCTTCCATCGTTGGCGCCCGTGCTCCGATCGCCGCTCAACAATTAAGCAGGCCGCCCAAGATTGTTGCGCCCTCTGGCCGCCTCTGGCATCGTGCGTTTTCACTGCCCCTCGCCAACGTTTAAAAGCAGGGAAATTCGACGCCGCTCTGATCGTTATACAGGAGAAACTCATCTTATCCGCGGTGATGCCGGGGGACCGTTACCACCGATCCTATTATTCATGGGGTTTCGATTTAAAGCTTTCGTGACTGCAGGGATTCATCTTCTTGGTTCTTTCGGTAAAGTCACGTAGAAGAGAAGTATTATTATTTATTATTTTATTATTTCTCTTCTACGTGACTTTACCGAAAGAACCAAGAAGATTCATGGGGTTGTCTACGATTTGACTCCACTCAACCTTGGCAAAAAAATCGTGGCTCATAGGAAGGTCCGCGGATAATCGGAGTTTTTGTTCAACAAATGGCTACCTTCTGATAATAGGAGTCACAGGTAATATGGTTGCAGATAAGGAGGAGCCGTCCTGTGACATGGTAATAATATAGAATAACTAGCTGTACTACCCGGCTTCGCCCGGGACTTGTATCCACCACGGCCGGCCGCCTTTGTCTCCCCAGTGGCGATGTTAATACGCCACACCAGTTACTCTTTTTGCGGCTGAGTCCCTCCCTCACCACTCTCCCTCCCTCACCACTGTCCCTCCCTCACCACTCTCACTCCCTCACCACTCTCCCTCCCTCACCACTCTCCCTCCCTCACCACTCACGCACGGCCGCCTTTGTCTCCCCAGTGGCGATGTTAATACGCCACACCAGTTACTCGTTTGAGGCTGAGTCGACCTAGGGGAGGTTCAAATAATCGTCACCGGTGGTGGCCGTGAGCGGGAATGGAACTCGGTTCGCCGGGTTTGTAGCGCAGCGTAGCGTTAACCACTACACCCACCGCTCCTCACACACCACACACGCACAGACACACACACAGACAGACACACAGACACACGCAGACACACACAGACAGACACACACACACAGACACACAGACAGCACGCTAACCACTACACTACCGCTCCCCACACACCACACACGCACACACACAGAGACACACACAGAGACACACACAGACACACACACAGACACACACACAGACACACACACAGACACACACACACAGACAGCACGCTAAGCACTACACTACCGTTCCCCCTACACAACACACGCGCGCGCGTCCATAGGTACACATACACGCGCTTGCTGCAGACACACACGACTGTCAGGGTGCGTACGGCAGTAAACGACTGAAAAAAGAAAGCGGCAATGCTGCGCGAGGAACGCCTTAGACCTGCAACACATTTGTGTAATGCGAGCGTAAACACACAAACACATACAAACACATACACACACATACATACACACACATACACACAAACACATACACACACATACACACACATACAAACACACAGACATACACATACACACAAACACACACATACATACACACAAAAACAGACAATACACACACACATACATGCAGACACACACAGACACATAACACACATACATACACACAGATACATACACAGAAACACATACACACATACATACACACACATACACACAAACACATACACACAAACACATACACACACATACACACATATACATACACACAGACATACACACAAACACATACACACACGTACATACACACATACATACAGACACACAGACATAGACATAAACACATACAAAAAAACCCACATACATACACACACAGACATACACACAAACACATACACACACATACATACACACATACCTACACAGAAACAAACACAGACACACAAACACACACATACATACACACAAACACATACACAATACACACACACATACATGCAGACACACAGACACACACATAACACACATACAAACACACGCATACATACACAGAAACACATACACACACATACATACACACATACATGCACACACGTACATACACACATACATACAGACACGCAGACATACACATAAAGACATACAAAAAAACCGACATACATACACACACACATACAGACAAACACATACACACACATACATACACACATACATAGAGACACACAGACATACACATAAACACATACACACATACACATGACCCGGCTTCGCCCGGGACTTGGATCCACGATGGCCGGCCGCCTTTGTCTCCCCAGTGACGATGTTCACACACGACAGCAGTTACGCGTTTGAGGCTGAGTCGACCTAGGGGAGGCCCAGGTCCGTTTCAAATAATCGTCAGCGGTGGTGGGCGTGAGTTGGAATGGAACTGGGGTCGCTCAACCAGCTTAATGACTATTTGTACAAAGAACATATAAAGAATCGATTATAATAACCAGGCTACAGTCCACATTATAGACTGCCAGTACACGCAGTCAGCTTCATAAGCAGGCTAGAGTGTACATGATAGAGTGGCAGTACGCTCACCGAGTTTAATAAGCAGGCTACAGTCTACATGATAGACTGGCAGTACGCTGACCCAGCTTAATGACTATTTGTACAGTGAACATTTAAGTAATCGATTGTTGGCGCGTTGGGTTTAAAAGTAATATTAATTGCACACATTGTGGTGGGGGTGGAGTGAAGAGTAGGAAAAACTTTGATGAATTTACCTCAGAGTGGCGTGGTGGGTGTCGAGGCCTAGTAGCGTGCAGAGCCTGCGGCCTCGCCAAAATTGTCCACCCGGCAGAGGCGGGGTACGGGTGGCGTGCCTTCCCCCCCCCCTCAGCGCTCCAACAATACTGTGTAATGGCTATTATTTAATTATTTACGGAGCCTATGAAAGTGGCGAAGGCGTGGCTAGCCGTTGGCAGGGGCAATCGCCGTCCAATGAAACTGCAGCCCTTGGCGAAGGCGTCGCTAGCCGTTGCCAGGTCCAATGAAAGCGGTGAAGGCGTCGCTAGCCGTTGCCAGGGGCAACCGCCGTCCAATGAAAGTGCGTATGGTCCGAAATCCACACACACACACAGACAGACAGACATGCACGATTTTATATATATAGATTTAAATTGAAAGCTTTTTTTCAGTTCCCGTTGGGATGGAGGGCCTCCCTCCATGATATGTCAGTCGTAGGGGTTGTGTGACCATACTTTACCAATCCTGGTCACAATGCCGGATTAAGCTAGTGCGGGGCCTGTAGCATCTGTTATCAAGGGACCCGAAATAAATAAAAAAACACGTAAACATCAAAACACAAATGTTTAACTTGCATAGTAAAGTAATTGTATTTTTTCATTTGCTATACAGCCAGATAATATGACAAATCGCTAACCTTAAACACACAGTCGTTCATAAAAGATTAAGGCAGTATAGTACGATAGTAATAGAGCAAGTGCAGAATCACTGAACCGGAATTGATAGCTTGAAAGTGGGGGGTCCGTAGCATATGCTACTTTTGCTACTAGGATAATCCAGCACTGCCTGGTCACAGTGTAGAATGGTGAAAGGGGGAGGACAAGGACTGTTTCCGACTTCGGTGTGAATCGAATTTGGGTCACCAGGTTCCGAGTGTGCTTCGCGAATCCCCTGTGCCACTTCTCAATCCTGTAAAAAATAATAAGTGTGTGGATGAATACGTTATCGATCTTTGTTTTAATAGCGCCTTTGAGAAACCCATACCATTGTGTGCCATTCTTAAAGCCTCTCTCGATTCGGTGTTGTTCTCACGACATCAAAAAGAACATTCAGTTAACTTGGAAAAGAACTGCTCCCGTCTGATTAAGCCACAGCGGGAACAGACATTTTGTTTCGATGTTTTTTTTTTATCAAAATGCTTCCTGCGGCCTCGTTTTATATTCTTCGTCCAATGCATTGTAATCCTTTACGTCAAATAATATTTGTGTAAAAGTGCAACATTTGAAGAAGGCAAAAAAATTCTCAAACACTTTTCGGTGCAAGTAAATGGCCTGTAAGTGTTTATGAGTGCTCATCAACTCATCGATTTAGCTTTTTCCAGCAAGAAGGCTTCACAGATTGCTCTCCGAAGCCATATTACTACATCAGAAATATTGTAGATGCGCATTGCAAAAGCCTCCGTATGAATGACTGCAGTTTTAAAATATACTCCCATGTCAACGAATTGTAATTTGCAAACCTGAAAAGTCCACCGAGGTGGCCCAGACTTTAGCCCAATTTAAAAAGCACAGAGCCCTGCTCGCCTTATTGGAGAGTGGGTTGTGCAATAATCGTCGAGCAAAACTCTGGAGGCCTTTTCGCAAGATGTAAAATATTAGCAAATGTAGCCTTGTGCAAGAATACGGCATCGATTATTGCATTCGCAGTGGCGATACGGAATTTCTAATGCTCTTTACCGCTGTCCGAATTCTAATGTTACCAACACAAAGAGCGTGTCGTTTTGTCTCAACGAATTCGCAGAAAGTGTTGAATTACAACACGAATCTATTTGCAAGTGTAAATACTACAATACAGGTGAAATTTGAATTAGCTGTGCTCAAATGAGTAAACGTGTAAATTATTAATTCACTTCTTTTCCCTGGATTTAAGTGGTTCATAAACGTATTTTTCATTGGCCAATGAAATGCCTTCTGTGTTCATTGCGATTGCCTTGTTAATGGGATATAATGAGTATGAACTGCCGTAAGCCTGTTAAAAAACAAGTTTAGAGAGGCTTGAGAGAATTTCACAACACTCTTATGTGGCCTATCTCCAATTTTATTGCTTAGATTTTTCAAGCACTCTCTGACCAACATCAATTCTTCCAGAACATGCTGTGTGTGTGTGCGCTTTGATGGCTGGAAAGGGAAATGGAAAATATGCCCCACTGTTTTGACGGTTCGGCATTTTAATAAAGGTGAACTTCCCAAGTGTTTTGTTGAGATGCTCCTTACCGTCGTTTGTGGCATTTCAAAGCCAGATAGATGCACGTGCGCACACACACACACACATCTGAACCCTCATCATTGGAGGATTTACTTATTGTAGATCCTCATGGAATTGCCCAGAATGTGGTGTAGGTGTACGTGCTCACAATGTGTATCGTCTCACCTCAAATTTCAAGTGGAATTATTAAAGGAAATATTGAGACTGACCTTTAACATCACTGTTTATTATCTGCTATTGCATGGTTTGCAATTTTCTGAAACGCCACATTTTTTTTTTAGCTGAGCACGAGAAAGTTGTTACGTTTAAAGAAGTTGTGGGCAATTCTCCAGCCTGCAGCTTTCAAATGATTAGTTATTTCATTTATCTCTCTCTTTCTCTCTCTCCATTGCTTTCAATTCCCACATTAACTCATTATCTCAAATTTTTTGCAGCTACGCAATTCATACACAGCACACCTCCCCGCATTTATCTAGAATTCCCGGAGCGTGGCCCGGGAGCAGTTTAAAGGTGGGGTGCTACATCAACCGGAGAGGGGCGGGCACCTGGGAATGTTGTCTAAATTTAACGATTAATTATTCGTGCAACGAAATGATCTGCACTTAATAGGCAAGAAGTGCAATGGTCACGGATACGCGTTCTCACTAATAAGCTGTGCCGGATACGGCAGAACACCTCATTTACGAACGCCTTTCATGCAACCACGAACAGCCACAAATTAGAGTGGCCTTTCCTGAGAACCCATTTCCCATGATAAGAAAACAAACTGTGTAGGTTATCAAATTTATCACGATTGGGAGTTAGGGGTTATTTTCGGGCAAAAAAAAAAACACCGCCTTCTCCTTTTGGTGGTGAGAACAATTAAAACTGAGCAATTAATTCCTGTGCCGTTACGCCATAGGTAACAGAGACACGCAAGGGGCCCCTTGGGTGCAGCAGCTACGAAAACCTGGACTTGGTCAGCTCCGTCCTCATCCACAGCACGGAGAACAAGATCCAGCTGCAAGGTACTGACGGTCCCCGCCACCTGCGCTCACGCATCGCCATGTGCATCGTCGCTGCTGCCATTGTCGGTTCTTGATATTTCACTGAATGCATCGGAAGTGCGCTCGTACGCCGCACGCTTGTCGATGGGAGAAAAAAATAACACTGGTCAACACACTTTTTCTGGTATAAGGTATTCAACTGTTTTAATGCACTTTTGGGGTGCTGATTCCAAATCTGGCATCAGTTTTTGTCTATCACATCAGGTTTTTGAGATGTCAAATATTGCATTTTCAATAAAAGCTGCAGAAGAAAAATATTAAATAAATGTGGATATCTACATTAAATGATATTATAAACACACTATCATAAAAATTACAGCACCATATTTTAACACGAGCAGTCACTGACTCGCAACAACTTGCAATCATAAGTGACAGAGTTAATTTCGGGTAAAATCAATGAAAATGGGGTATGCCGATAGCATAAAATGAGATGTGATAGAGCAAATCTGAGATCAGATTTGGAATCAGCATCCTGAAATTAGTCTTAAACAGCTGCAAAAGTCCAGGCCAGAAAAAAACGTTTTTTTTGTTGACCAGTGTAATAAGCCACTCCAAATGTGCGTTCGAAATGTAAAGAACGTGCACATGCCTATACTATGTAAAGGCACAGATCTCTCATACAGCCTCGAATAGACTATTGGGGAAAGTGCTGTTGGTGAGTAACTATTCAGGCTGGCATGGCACACTCGAGGGTGGTGTGGCCACCACCGTTGTCTGCCCAGTGCTGGAATAATTACACACCATTTCGTGTACTCATTTAATGGCTGAATCAGCCCAGGGGAGACCAGTGGCGAGTGTTGATATCAATTGCCAATGATGTTAGCCCTGGCCCGGGATTCAAAATCTGATTTCTGGGTTCATTGCGCATGCTACATATACATAATAATCGTGTTTATATATACTGTACACACACATGCACACGTCTATTATGTTCCAGTACTCTTCGCAGTAATGAGGACAATTAATTTGCAATCTAACGCAAAACACCTTTTATAAAAAAATATTGGTAGTGAAAGCCTACATGTTAAAATGAGAACAAAGTAAGTTGAATGTTTTCCCGTTCTTTTTTTTTTACTGAAACGTGTTCACAAGTAATAAAACGTAAGCGTCGTGAAGCAATTTATAAAAGCATTCTGTGTTCAGTGATTTTGGCTATTAACTTTTTTTTTGTCATGCTCATTATATATACAAGTCAATTAATCTCATTGCTGGTCATGGTGAACATTTGTTCTTTTAAATCTATAGCCGCACAGCTGGGATGTGGGAACGGCATGGATGTTCTTTGACCCAAAATCAAAATAAGCCACGTAATATATTTGACGTCTCGTCATTTGCATATTAGCGTTCATGTGTTTCCTGGTTTTCTGATGTATGACGTTAAAATGGGTAATTAGCTGAAGGGATCCAATTAACGCTGCAGTCAATGAATTGTTAATGGGTAAAAAAAAAGGTCTGCAACTAGTTTATTTTCCCCAACTGTAGCCACGAAGCAATTTGCTTTTCTAATCTTGCATTTGAACATACGCGTGTTTTAAGAGCAAAAAAATATGTAATAAAAATCTAAGGGTTTTGATTGTGCTTAAACATACTGAATGCATTTTCTCTACGTGTATTTTTTGAACCAAATATTCTGGGAAATTGATCTAATGGGGTGAAGCTGTGGAGCATTTTCAATTAAATTCAATTTGCATGGTAAATTATAATGTTCTTTCGATGAAAGTACATCATAATGACAATTATGGCGCTGGGTTTTTAACATTTTAAATTATGTTGTGCATTACATAATAATTAAGCTAGGTTTTCCATTTGTATTTGTGACATGCAATAAAGTTTAATTTATTTTCAGATTTTTTTTACTTTTAATAAAATGTAACTGAATATAAATGCAAATGAAATTGCGCTTATCTGTGTTGAAGTGAAGGCATACGTAACTATACAAGTGTGTCTATACAAGTGTGTTTATCAGAGTTATGTTCTTTTGTTTGTATTATGACTGCAGGTATTGCGGTCTATGCAAACATGACTCCTTGCAAAAAGGTGTCAGTTTTGTTGCCAGATAGAAGGGTAAAGAACCAATTATCATATTTTTACTGGCAAATGAGGTCCCCATAGTGACAATAACTTGTTTTATATGTGAACATATGTGAACATAACGCTGGGTGAATTATCCACATGACGCCTTTTATCCAGGGTTTTCGTTGTTGTGTGAATTTGACTTTCGGCAGATTAATGAGGGCTTGAGGATAATGAAAAATAGGGGATAATCGGTGTTACAAATAGGGGAGTTGTACGTGTAGGTGCACTTATATTGTCCGGTAAGCTCGTATAAGGCGTATAAAGCTTCAAATCTAGAAGGCGTAGAAGAGTTTTCTCTCATATCTAGGTCACTAGTAATCTATGCTTGTCAATTTTAAGTTGTATTTTAACTTTAAACATCTTTAAAACACTCTTGGTTCTTTCGGTAAAGTCACGTAGAAATAAAATAAAATAAATAATAGAATTCGACGTTTCAATTGCAACACAAGCAACCGTCATCAGGTAAGAATGAATGAGAAAACAAACCTAGTAAACTTAGAAATGTAATGCAATACAACACAGAGAGTCGGTTAACACAACAGTCAACACCCTACCTGGTTGATTACGTTCTTCCAAAGATTGCTAAATTTGAGAGCGAGACAAAACACAGACACGGAGACACATAGACAAACACATAATCAGAGAAAGACACACAAAGACAGAGAGAGAGAGACACACACACATAGACACACAGAGAAACAACGCCTCTGTGTCGAGGCCTTAAATAGAGAGGGGGGGAGGGGGTTGGTGCCTCTGCAGCAATATTTCGTCCCAGACTGGGTAATGGTCCCTCCACGTTGCTACCGCTCCGGTAGTCCCACAGTGCCCTGACCGATCTCGCTTACACCCATGAGTTGATATCATTGCTCCATCTCTCTGGCGGATGTCCTCTGGAGTGTGATCCCACTGGTGGCTGCCACACTATCAGTAGTCTCGCCGATGGGCCATCATCCTTTCTAGCCGTGATGTACCCTGTCCAAGCTCGATTGTTTATCTCAACAGTCATGATGATATCTGTGATTCGCATTGCTGTTCCCTCATCCATGTGCTCCTGATTTTTACCTCTCCAATATAATTTCCAGCACGTGCTTTTGAGATAATTTTTTCAATTTTTGTTTAACCTATGTGTTAGCATTTACTGATGCATACGTATTAGCAGGTGATAGGCACTCAAATAAAACATTCTTTTTCAATGTTAAATTACATCTCCGACCTGCTTTCGCTTCACTTCCAAAGTAAAAGCAAAAGGTGCAGCCATTCATTCGAGGGATTTCTGGAGGACCCGTCTAGATAGTCTTGGCCTACTCTTCCACACTGCTTAGACATCTTTTGAAGACGAGGGAGCGCACACGCGCACACACGCACACACACACGACCCGCCGAACGACTGTCCGTGGCGACTCCTTTCCCACTACTGGGTGGACCGTGACGGTGCGGATTTAACAAACTTTGCACCATCGTCTCAACTACCAAGCTGGGAAATCGAACCGCGGCTGTTGCAGCGTTTAGCGCGCAAACGGTTGCAACCGCGGCAACATCCCTCGACCGTGTATCCAACTTGTTTGCTGAAAATTTAATTTCATAAGCAAACACTCGAAAGCACCTTGACTGAAGGTTTATTGATAGCCACCTCAGTTATTATCGACACCTCATGCTAAGGTCAGCCACAGCTTGCTTCTACGCCGGCCCCAATTATCACATTACCAAACCGTCACATTTCACACTTGTCCGCCGTCACGAGTTTGTCGTGGGGCGCTATTGATAGTTGTTGTTATGTTATTGGCAGTCGCTAAGGTCAGAGGGTCTTCCTTATTGGTTTTTTGCTGGCAACAACAAACATCCGTGCACTACAGCTGTCAGGCGGCCTTTTAACTGCACGCAGTCTCTGCAGGTCGGCACGCTGAGACTTAGGGCACCTCGGTAGCGATTTGTTATCTCGCTTGCATGGTACGCAGGAGGTCGTGGGTTCTATCTCCACCCTGACGTCTGTATGTATTTGGAGTTTGTGTGCGCTCTCCGTGGTGGCTGTGTGCCATTTTCCTCCAGGTCCTCGAATTTTTCCCTCCACATGTAGAATGGTGTGCTTATCTTATTATTTGTCGACTATCACATTCCAAATATGATGCAAGCCACTTCGATGAGCTGCACACCATCACTTTCACCTTCATCAAACAGTAAATGAAGGCCATACAAGCCTAGCCCTGCATAAGTGCGTCCGTACACGTGGTACATTTTATACATCGGCATGCAATCGTTTCATCGACTTGAAACTGGTGCATTGTTTTCTGTTGTTGTTAATTACCGTGTCTCTGAACCGTACGTCGTAGCAGGAAGTACGCAATTCGAAAAAAAACATTTCGTGTACATCTGCACGTTACAATTTATTACAAAGTTCAGCTTCTGCAAAAAAAATACTCTCATATCAACATATTTAAACAGTTTAATTGGAAGCGAGTGAAACGTGTCCAACCCAGTATTACACCAGCTAAAAGATTGCCTTCCATGGGAGGCAGTCTGGCTCAAAGGCTCGAACACCGAGTTGACTGTGGGTGGCTACCTGTGAAGCGAGTATGATGGTATCAGTCCGTTCACCAGTGACTGCTTAAAGAAAAAAAAAACATTATCTTAACTTAGGTTCTGCGCTTAACTTCACCATATTCCAGAACTGAGAATGAAAAAATCACTCTTTTACTGCTGTCTTGTGTAAAAAATAAATACTCTTGGTGGCAAGAGCTGGTGCAAAGGTGTTGCTGCTCCCTACTTTGTTGAGCAGCAGTCACCTGAAGGGATGTAGCCGCTTCTGTGTTCTCTAACTCGAAAGGTCGCACTGCTCTGCAAGAGACCTCAACGAATATAATTTGTCACTTGACTGTGAGGCAATTGGCACAAGTGGGTTAAAATTGAGAGCCAGATTTTGTTGTTGTTGAAGTAATGTCTGGCCGCATCAGAACTTACTGTAAACAACAATTCAAAAAAAGTTTTTTTTTATTGGTGTGTGTGTGTGTGCAAAATTGTCATCATTGACTAAAGCACAGCCATGAAATCCACTGACCATGGAAATTCTTTCAGACGTAGAAGACAAAGTTCTGTGTTTTTGTTGTCCCACCCCGGGGCTTCAGCTCTGGATCGCACAAGTTGCACATTCACTATGCTGACACCGTGACCTAATTCACTAAGCCGCCCAGATATTCCACATTTCGTTTTTAGTTTGTATGGTTTTGTTGGAATTGTTTCGAACCAAACTATGTACTGTGTTGTTTTTTGGGGGAATGCTGTTGTGGTGTAATGGTAAAAAGCACACTGGAGTTTCAATCCAGAGGTCTCCGATTTAATTTGATTTCCAGGCACAGCAGTTGATATGATGGCGCGAGTTTCTTGAATCTCCACACCTCTGTACACCCAGCAATAAAACCGGATACAACACTGGCAGGTGATTTGCAGGTCGTGTCCCGTGGCGAAAAGTTTACGCTCTCCCACCTCTTCCCAGATATCTAACCAGCACTGAAAAGCAGCACTCTTGAGCAAGCGCTTGCAGTGCTGCACCTTTACCTTCCAAATGCAATTAGTTAGATTAAAAACCTTACGCGATATCAAAATTAATTACTGTCGCGTTTAGCATGCAGCTTTGTCAACGTGGGCAGGCATTGGGCCCTGAGTTCACGTTTAAATAATCACTCTCTTATGGACTGCAAGTTGATTTTCTGCTGTGCTTTCCTGCAAAGTTTCCACACACACGCTACAGTTTTTTTGGATGTGTTTGTGCCCTTGGGCTCGATGTTCACGAGCGATGGGGTTTGGACCTTAAAATTTGGAGCACGTGGAATCCAATAACTAGCAGCCTGACTGCTCGCCAGAAACTCTGCAGTCGCCGGCCATGTTTTAATCCCAAAACGTGGCGTGCCAGCATTTTTCCTTAGTTCCCTTCCGACTTCTCTCGTAGACAAAGGGGGCCAAAATGATAAACTCTCCACCTCTATCCGCCTCGCCCTGGGACTTTTTGACAGCTTCATTTACTGCTCACCCCTTTTTGGTTCAAGATCACTCTTCGCCGTTGTCAAATCCGGTGCATCTTTTGTCTCTCTCCGTTTCTTGTTCCGTGATGGGTGACGTTGTTGTTGTTCTTGTAAAGCGTGCCACTGTGAGGTCGCACTCATTACACACAAAGTCATTGCCACATGTGAAGGACAATACCTTGCTGATCCCATCACGGAGCGTAAACCATCACGCTAGCTCCAGTCATCCTTGCAGTGGCTTTTGGCTGGCCATCAAACAAAAACGGACAACCTCATCGCACGATTTCAGATGCGCTTCAGCGGTAGTCTGGAATACTCTTTCTTCCAATATTAGGAAGCCACTGGAGCTGTGCACTTTCAAACCTAGATTGAAAACGAATTTTTCTAGAAGTGATTTCTGTGTTTAGTTTGGTCTTCCCCAACACCTCCGATTAGCACGGTTGGCTACGTACGGTGCGAACGAAGTTTAACATTCTAGATTTGAAGCTTTCGTGACTGCAAGGATTCATATTCTTAGGTTTTTTCCGGTAAAGTCACGTAGGTAAAAAATTAAAATTAATGAAAGTAAAATAAAATAAAAATCACGACGTTTCGGAGGCAACACAAGCTTTTTTTTTTTACTTGATACAGCTGTCATGGCTGTGACGGTTCCACCTGAAGACGGAAGCTTGTGTTGCCTCCGAAACGTCGTGATTTTTATTTTATTTTACTTTTATTAATTTAAATTTTTTACCTACATGACTTTACCGAAAAAACCTAAGAATAGGAAGTTTAACATACATGCATACACTGTCGGCGGACTGAATATATCTCTGGACAGAACCACGGCTGCAGGTGTGTTGCGGTCTCGTGGAATTGGGAGGTAGGGGAAAAAAAACCCGTCTTGCTTCGGCGATGTAATTCGGTATTTAAAATCTCGGCGCTCAGGGAATTGTGGTGGGAAGGGGTTAATAACCTCATCATGGATCACTCTCGTAATTTCTCGGCAGCCTTTGTCCCTACTCAGTTTCCCTGCCAGGCATCTGCCATTTATCTGTGTTTCACAATTTTCTTTCCTAATTAACTGGCAACTGATTGTGATGATATGCTATGCTCGGCTAACTTTTAATTACGAATTTATTGAGTAGCCATGCTTAATGAATCTTGGCCATTTACTTAGTGTTTGTTTACTTTTTTATGTTATCTTCCAATGTTTTTGCATATTTTTAAAATTAGCTCTCATTGCAATATGGGCAACATTAACACTCATGATATATTCCTGCCCTTTGTAAGTCCCAGGACCGGTTCAGACATCTCTCATTGCTGATAGCCATAGCTGGGAATCAAACTCGGGTTGCCGGGTTCATAGCACCATAGCGCTTATACTGCAAAGCCAAAAACAACCCATATAGCCTTGATAGATTGTTGGGGCAAGTGCTGTTAGAAAGCACCTATAAAGGCCGGCACGGCACACGAGCAAGTGGGTGGTAAGCACCACGCCCGGCCGCCTTTGTCTCCCCAGTGGCAATATTTACACATCGCACCAGCTACTCATATGAGGCTGAGTCGACCTAGGGGAGGCCCAGGACCACTGCACCACCACTCACACCCACACCAAATATCAGAATGGCTCTGAAACGGCATATAGGCTTGTCCGTAGATGATGATATATCCCCCACAGTGAATTTGCCCAGATCACGTTGTAATTTTTGTGGACATTTACTAAGATTGTTGTCTCCTCTCGTGTGTCTTCATTGGAGGTCTTAAATAGACAAATGCATTTTAATTGTCCGTATACATTCGTGTTCTGATTTTATATATATCAGGCCAAAAGCTCACGTTTTAAAACTGCCCAAAAGTAAAAAAAAAAACGTTGAGAGAGCGGTGTGCAGTTTCCCGGCCAATCCTACATGCAAAACACAAAACATGTAATTGTGTAATCAATGCGAACACGCATCCCTGTATGCAGATGTCAATATACACAAAATGCATTCTTAAATCAAATGCACTTCGAATTAAAATAGAAATTAACACGCGATATTATTGTAACAAAACACATTGTATATACATACACACAATCTTGATTTGAAGCTTTCGTGACTGCAGGAATCCATACTCTTTGGTTCTTTCGGTAATGTGACGTAGGTAGAAATAATAATAGATCACGACGTTTTGATCGCAACACAAGCAATCGTCATCAGGTGGGACAACCACAGCAAGAAAAAACTGCTGAAAAAAACTGCTGAAGTACTTCACCGCTGCACCACCACTTACACCCACACCAAATATCACAATGCCTCTGATACGGCATATAGGCTCGTCCATAGATGATGATAAATTCCCCACAGTCAATTTGAAGTACTTCAGAAGTTTTTTATTGCTGTGGTTGTCTCACCTGATGACGATTGCTTGTGTTGCGATGGAAACGTCGTGATCTATTGTTTTTTTCTACCTATGTGACTTTACCGAAAGAACCAAAGAGTACATACACACACACACGCGCATTTGTTTTTTTTTCCTTCATACGGTCACGCTTAACGTTCGTAAACAATAAAGGCAATCACCTTGGCAATCGTCAGTTTAAGGTCAGTCCATTACACACGTACGGCGAGGTGAGAAAAAAAAATCGTAAGCATTCTCCTCTCCCCAACAGCAGCGGACCTCCCGGGCGACGTGTTTATATTAAGGCTAAATCCTACCTGGGAGACCGATGACAATCGTGTATGGGAGCCAATTAGGAGCCAATTGAGGAGGCTCCTCACTCGTTTTGTCGAGGGACGCCGAGTGCTTGACGAAAGCTCCCAGGAAATTGCAGCTTCACTTCAGGAATGCACGAGCGGTCCCAGCGTTAGATGCATTCCGCTTTCGTAGAAAAAAAAAAGAATCACGTACGTGCATTTTTAATTGTCCGTACGCATTCGTCGAGTGCACACGCGAAGACTGTACATACGATTATTACCTTTCCAAAACGCCGTCTAAATCCCCACCCCCACCACCACGCACACCACTGCCCTTTCATCCATCGCAGGCCTGCAGACGATCCTGCCCGACTACATTCGCGAGCGCTTTGTGCGCGCGGCACTCGGCTACCTGCTGTGCAATGCCGAGGGAGAATACAGATGCCACGGTGGCGAATGCTCCTGCCTCTGCCTGCCCAAGTTCCCCAACTGTAATTGCCCGGAATCTGACATCGCTACGCTGGAGAGCTCCATTCGCAAGCTTGGGCAAGACCTGGAGCAGACCCAAGAGGACTTTACGCAATCCGGTGAGGTCGCGTGTAAAAAAAGAACAGATCACTCCACAATGCGTGTAATTAGCTCGCCCACCCCCCCCCCTGTCAGTCTTTGAGTGGAGGGTTATTTATTTCATTCCTTACCTTTTTCCATCATACAGGTTGCCTGTTATTGACGTAGCAACGGCTATCCGGCCGTGTTCTCGGGTTGCGCCGTGTCTTGCTCGGCGCGATCTGGTGTGACGTGTTTATACCACGTGCTGGGAGCTCTGTCGACGACACGAAAACACATCCGAAAACAACACTGGTCACGTTCATATATTTCACGGGTGATTTTAATGGTTATGCACAGTGACTGCAAGTTAATATGCACAGCCTTTTGTCGATGGTCTGCTTGATGAAGGCCTCCACACCATGTTGGGCATGTGGTTATTTGTAGTTTTGTGAGAGTGTCAGGTATCACTCGATGGTGATCTTGGCCATTGGCTGGGAATCGAACTCGGTCAACTGATTCATGGTGCAGTGCACGTAACCCAGTTCAGGTATCACTCGATGTTGATGTTAGCACTTGGCTGGGAATCGAACATTCTCAGTCGACGGGTTCACGGTGCAAATGACACATTCTTTGCTGAATGATGTGTGGGGTGCTTGTGTCCATGCCACGTGGGGTGTGAGAGTGAGTGCCACAGCACTGGGCCAGGGAAGACTCGGCCATCAGCCATTGCTTTGGGCCCCAAGCAGCTCAAGGGACCTGCCCAATTCATGCATAGCTTTAATTTATTATTATTATTATAATAATTTGTTATCGGCTCAGGATCGTTTGTCTTCGTTGGTAAGTACCAGCATCAATCATTATTTATTGAGACAACTGTCGTACGGTGATATAATTGATGACTTAGAATCAGAAGTGTCGGAGACCGTGCTTTAACGATGGCAAGGTAGCACTTATGTCTCTAATTACTGTCATTATTTCGTGTGATTTACCAGCAAAGTGTTGTTCACCTCGAACGCGGGCTTTTTAACAAGTGCATCACTAAATTTCGATTTAAAGCTTTCGTGACTGCAGGGATTCATATTCTTGGTTCTTTCGATAAAGTCACGTAGAATGGAAATAATAAAATAATAAAATAATAAAAATAAAACATAATAAAATAATTCTCACGACGTTTCGGCCACAACGCAAGCAGCCGTCATCAGGTGGAGAACAGGTCTGTCGAGCAGACAGAGTCTGAAACGTGATTTAATTTAGTTGTTTTCATTTTAATTTATTTTATTTTTTACTAACGTGACTTTACCGAAAAAACTAAAAGTTTGCAGTCACGAAAACTTCAAATCTAGAAGTAGTATATATATATATGTTTAAGGGGTGTATGTGGTGTGAGACGAGATGCTAACTACTTCGCCTGGCATACAGGGGTCGCCTGTATGTTTGGAGTTTTCCTATCTCTCTCCCCGTGCTCACGTGGATTTTTGTCTGGGTTCTCCAATTTTTCCCTTGGCGTTTAGAATCAACGTGTGCGTTTCGAACATTTGGCTTGCTACGAATTCCCACGTGATCAGCCGCTTCATTGAGCTATCATTCGTGGCCAGATTACTTCTGAAAAAGAGCTCTGTGGCTCAGTGGGCCTTACCTGATAACATAAACAAACTATTTCGTTTAATAAGTTGGGGTGGGTGGGTGGAAGTCCAAAAGTATTCCATCAGAGCCCTCGCACACTGCAATAGGCTCGTTCCACCCCGAGTGAATGTTCTCCTTGGGGCAGCAGATCGCATTTGCACCACTAAACCACGTGGCCTGTATTCCCTTCAACGGAGGAGGAATAGCAAAACTACACCAACTCTTTCCTAAAGCCCCACTCATTATGGCCAGAAGACCTCAACATCGGCGTTTAGCTCCTGCACCATATTGCCATTATACGCCAGTATAGAATTTACACGATGATGATGACAGTTTAACGCAATTTCCAAACTTACAGCGTAAAGCCACGTAGATAGAAAAAATAATCAACAATAACAATATCACGACGTTTCTATTGCAAGCGTAATGTTCATTGGAGGGGTTTTTATAGGCTATGGAGTGAACGTTTTAATATTGAAATGCATACACGGTAAGGAGAGGTTGCGGTATGCTCCAGGTGTTTTGACATCATTATTAAAACTGTCCACACGTCGAGGTATAACGGCCCCTTTCTCCCCGCACACTTATTCCCGAATGAAACATTTATGGGCCAACTTTGAGAGGGATCCCGTTTCGAAAGGCAAACGCTGGCGCTTGCATCACGGCTACAGCAGCCGCAGCTGCGGGACGAAATCTGTGGGGATGAAACTGCGGTAATACATCACAAAAATACTGCTCTCGCCCGCTCCCTGGGAGCTCATTAATTAATAAATAAAACAATAGTAATTAAAACTGGATGTGCTCCAGTGCTTTATGCTGATGATAAGGTTATCCTACTGATACGTGAAACTTGCGTTGCAACGCGATCACTAAATGATGGAGGTTTACGTTAATTACAGCAGTCCAGCTGTTGAAAAAACGATCATCATTTGGCCTTGATGTGCGTCTGTTCCACAGTGCACTTTCACGCAATCCTACGAGAGTGCCACCGTCGATTAGGGCCCCGATTTTTTTTGGACAATATGCACATCCCCCAGACTTTGCCGTTGATGAGATTGTATCATCGCACGTGCGAGTGTAGTGCACGGCAGCCGGGAACAATCACGCTTTACAATTTAGTTTTGGTAACAATTCGTGAGTTGCTGCCATGGTGTAGTGGTTTGGTCTGATAGCAGTCACGTGATCAGGTAATTGCAAAGCTGCACCGTTACCTTTATTAAACAAAGATGCGTAGGTTGATTTGGGTGGCACGGTGGTAGAGGGTAGAACTCACAGCCGTAACTTTGTGAATGCATTACACGTTGGAGGCAAACTCTGACCATCATACCTCCATCATCAATACAATTAGTAACACTTTGTGGGTAGCTTAACACTGAATATGCGTGATAATTAATGACTTGCCCATTTCTTTGAAAAAGTGCTCATTATTTACCCAGGAAAGCTTTCACCTGGGTCTTAGACAATTTTTCATTGTGTCCTGAATTGAAATGTTTAGCAAGTTCCATTACTGGATATTTGACTTGTGAGAGGAAACCGGAAACCCTAGAGTAAAGCCCATGGAGATGTGAAAATGTAATGCTGAATACCGGTATCTCCTGGTCACCTCATAGTCCCATCCCTAAAATAAAATAACAATCAAGCCCTGGTGGTCACCCATACAAGAACGTTCCAGGCTTAAGCCTAGTTTCCAAGAGGAGATGAAATCAGGTATATACTCCATCGCCTGATTTTGTCAAAAGCAAAGGACTATCAACACGAGATGAGAACATCGAGTGATGGACTCTGCTCAGTTGCACAGTAAACAACTTAGACTTGCAAACATAATGAATGCAGTTTCATAATAGCCAATGTGTTTGTCCTGTGGGAAACTCAATGAGTCGTAACGTAATTTTTTTCAAAGACGTGTCCCCAATAGTAGAATGTCTGGCAAATTCCCACTTTTGAGCAATTTTTACCAACCCCCATGGAATTGTTCTTCTTGCATTGCAGTGCCACTTTACCTGAACTCACAATGTACCCGAACCACAATTGCCTCTTAAGTGCATCCTAAGTTGAAAAAGCAATTTCTAAGAATCCAGAGGAAATTTTGATTCGCAAACTACCACCGAGCGGTGGCTTTTTTGTTCACATGTTTTCTTTCTATTTGTAAACGCTGATCAACCGCGGACTTTGTAACTCCGCCACATTAATTTTCTCTTGTCCCTCTGAAAAACAAACAAACAAACAAATTCCTTCACCCATTCACAGAGGAGTTCAAGGCGTTTGTGCGGCGACTGCCTCCGGAGCGCCTCTTGAACTCGTCGGTGGTGTTCCGCTTTTGGACACGGGACGACGCGCTGCAGGCCCGCCTCGGGGTCGTGCGAGGTCGCCTGCAAGGTGTGAAGGCCAAGATCAGCCGAGCCGTCCACCGCCTCTACAGCCTTAGCCGCCGCTGCCCCATCAACCCGGCCATCCGCCTGCCAGCAGAGCGGTATGTGGGGGGACGCGGTCTGGTATACTACCCTCATCACCCCGTAATAGCAATCGCAGAGCCATCAATGGGGCCCACCGATTCAGATGTTCCTCCCAGGTGTCAGGGTCCATCGCCCCTAGCCAAGCCTCCTGTGATAGGCTTCAAGTCTGCATCATTGACGGTGATGATCGGTGAGCGCGCCCGGGTTTCAGAGCGAGCATCCCGTTTGACGAGACCATGTGCAGACAGGTTTTTGTGCCTGATCTATTTTTTACACTCGCCCCCTTGACACCCGTTTTCCACTGGCACATCCGAGCCAAGCCGGCGTGAGGCCCTTACCGTGTGGGTGGTTTTACCACCGGTTATTTGTGATGCCGGTCTGGAATCAAACCATGATACGCTGGCCTCGCACTATCTGAATCTGGACCTGGAAGCCAAACAGGGCCAGGGACAGGGCTCATGGTAATTTGAATGGGTATGATATCAGTCAGTCATATGCATTCGGGCATCTCAGCTCATTCGGGCATCTTGCCTGGTATGCAAGGGGACGTGGGTTCGATCCCGACCCTGACGCCTGCTGTATATTTGGAGTGTGCGTGCTCTCCCCATGGTCGTGGGGAGTTTTTTCCGGTTTTTCCCTAAACATTTATAATCAATATGTTTAGAGTATTTGGCTGCTATAAATTTCCACACGATAAGCCACTTCGTTGAGCTAACATTTTTGGCCAGGTCGATTCTGAAAAAGAGCTATATAGCTCAGTGGACCTTACCTGGTAAAGTAAAAATAGTTTAGTTTTAGTATCATTCTTTACATGTGATGTCAGTGGCACATGAGAATTCCGTGATGTTGTTTTTTCTCCCAGCCACCCACAACTTAATTTCCTTTGCTATTAAAATTACTTTGTGCAATGTCTTAATATTTGTTAGCAGTTAAATTCTGAATAGGTAAAAGTCATACATAGTCTATAGTAACTTAGAGCCAATTTTACGAGCCCTTCAAAATACTGGATTTAACTATTCGAATGCTTTTCACTCATTTATTTCAAGGTGATATTTAAGTATTCGGTGTCATACTTCAATCGTGAAGGAAAACTCATTTCTTCAAGAGAAGCATATCCGTGATGCAGTGTGTGATGCTGTGTGCTCACATGTAATATTGCAATAGAACACGAAAACAAACGGGATCATTGGCATGCGGGGACCCCAAGCCTTGCGCTCACGTAAACAGCGGTCCAGGGTGCACATGTACGTAGATGAGGAAACGTTCTTCATTTCGGCGTCTGTGAATCATTTGTTGGCAAAGCCATGAAACAACCACGGCGGGAGCCGGGGATATTTTTTTGTTCGGTTCGCTCGAACGTATTGTTTCAGGCATCGTCTTACTCATAACATTAATCAAAACATATGGACGTATAAACAAGAGGGTTTATTCGTGGTATCACGGGATAATCTTTAATATTCTTGTCGTAAAAATTGACTTATTTTTTCCCCAATATGCCATGAGCATGTGTATAGAAAATAAGTAAATAAATATATAAACGTGGATTTGCGCTGCATGCCGTGCTGGCCTTGGGCTGGGGTTGGTGTTCAAGCGCTCGAACCGTACATCATCTGCGCGTTTGACGTCTCCTGCTGCAAGCAACACGCCCGTGCAAGTCTTGACTTTCCTCGCAATGCCGCACAGATAGACGATCACTGAAAGCTACTGATCTCACGCAGATTGGGATGTCTCCGTGAGTCTACTCTTCGTTTTATTCGCCAACAGAGTTCCATCATCACGTGGCGTCAGCTGAACGGAACTTCGTTCCCCCACGTGCTTGGACTCCGTACCTCTTCTCTCGTTCACATCCACCACCCTTACATGCAGACCCGATTGTTTGCATTGAAAGCCTAAACTTACACTCGTGTGACCCATAGGCTTACACAGAGGACTCAGTCGCGGTAGCCCCCTTTCCCCTTTGTCTTCCCACTGGAATGATGCCCAATTGATCTTCAGCCTCTCTCCCCAGTTTTCTATCACCCCCATCTCCAGCTATGACCAGGCCTATCCCAACCCCTCCTTATCAATCCCCCCCCCCATGTTCTACCATTATAAAAACTACACCACCTACTTACAATAACCCACTTCTTCATTAGATATCATCATGCTTTGTACATCAGTTGCTGTAAAGTGCCTTGGTAAAGGTGCACTATATAAATCTAAAAAGATAAGAAATGGAGACTTGCATAGAGACTCACACTTACACAGACTTCCATACAGAACCGTAGACTCGCTTGCATGAGCCATTGATCCGAAGACTCGCATCATCTTCTCAACCAGAAGCTTCATTATCGCAGAGGGTCAGCTGCTCAGATTTTTTGTGCTTCTATGCTGTGCCTCTTCTAGTCTCAATGACGATCCTCATGTCTCATTCCACCTGGAAAAAAAAGTAGCAGATCTTGTAAAAGTAATACAAAATAATTTTCAGCCCTTTTGACAATCAACATACTTCACCATGATTTATCATTGCAGGTTGGTGAAGGGGTAGGTCAAACCCGGTTCCAAATACTGTTTGCCATTGATATTAGCCACAGCCAGAAATTAACTCGGCTCCTCAGTCTCATAGCGCGGTGTGTGCAAACCATTGCTCAACTGCTCCAACCCTCCATGTATTTATACATCTCGTAACTACGCATCGGAGATGCTGTCATTTTTGTGGGATACATTAGAATACAATAACAAGCTTATAATATCAAAATGTTTCACCACTGCACAGCATCTTAAGTGAACAATGTACAACGATCTTACATTTCAGACCCCTGTCCATCAGAGCAACGAAAATGAAATGTTGAAGATTGCATTCATAGTTGGAAATGACATCTTACAAAGGGGTGCATCGGTGAAAATGAAATAAAATAAAAATACTGGTGTGGAAATAGTTTTCCATCGGGAGATGTGTCCAAATAAGCTTTAAGTGTTAGCTGGAGCTGGAAATCGTCAGCTGAGTTCAAAGCCACTGCTTCCCTATCTCTTGCCACACGTGCTTTATATAATCAAATAGATGATGTTCAAATTAACAATTGCCGTAAGTTGTTGGCAAGAGGGCCCTATCATAATTATCTGTATAACTCTGTCTGTGATACGTTTGCGTTTTACATATCCATTGTCACCACTCGTCTTCTCCTGTAGTTCGAAAGCCAAAGTGATTTTGCTGCTCATCGCTTATTTACAGCCCTGAGCTAGTGGTGGAAATTCCACGTTCCTATGGCGGGATTTGAACTCGCCACCTTCTGACTGCAAGGCGCTCGCTCTGCAGTGGAGCCACCCCGTTGATTTGCTCAAATTACTTCCCAAAAAGTTTTTTTTCTTGTTCATTGGCATCTCCACAAAATGGTTAGTCAAAGTCTGGCTCCCTGCCCAAATGTGTCTAATGCTGTACGAAGGATCCAATAACATGGCCTTCAAGCAAAGTTGAGTGTGGCTGTCCGTACACTGCAACGAATGCCACATTGGTGGAGGGTGTTATTTGAATCAGCAGACGGAGACATTCATATATTTGTTAATGGAATAGTGTAAAGTTTCGATAGCGACAGACAGTTTTCATCTGAGCCCTCCTGTTTGCTTGATGTCATCGCTGCAGTCATAGTTTTTGATCTTTTCATTCCACATACACAAGTTCCCAATTAAATAAAAGCATTCCGACTGTTAAATGTCCCATTCTGGCACTTACTCTTTGAGTCTGAAGTAAAATTACCACCCGCTTGCCCTTAGGATCTGGCAGTATCACTGTTTGGGAAAGGTTTAAAGTAATTATCCTTTTAAAACATATACAGGGCCAGAAAAGGAACACATTCTCTGACCGTTAACTCATAACACGCTCACTTCGCATTCCGTGCCAGTGTCCACTTTGCATAGCTCGCACACGATATCGATTTCGTCCCCTTTGACCATAAACCATCGTTTCTTTTGCGTTTTCAAGACAAATGGCCGTTTTAATTCAAAATTTATTTTTGTGACCCACGGAAAGTTGGTAACTAAATCTCCTGCTTGAGCTGAATTATGATTGACCTACATAAGCACATATATACGATCTAGCCGAGTAAAGGAATAGATGAACCATAATTTTGCAAAAATGAGCAACATGATGGATGTTTTATAAGCAGAAAGTTTGCAGAGCTCTGGAGGATTTAATTTCTTCTTGTCTTTTTACATATATATAAAGAACAGCTGCAGGAAAAATAAGTTAATTGATTTGCATACTTACCTATCATATAGTGCTCTAATTAAAATAATGAGGATTAGAGATGAGTGGGGATTCATGGCTCATTGGGATAAAAGACATCGTACTCTTCAGATGACAGTTTGATGTTTTCATAATGAAAACACATGCAGTGGAAACACTGGCTTCACTTGAAGCCGTGATGGATATGTGCCTCAGAATAACTATTTGTTTAAATATACCACGGACAAGATAGAGCACCTGACCCAGAAAATAAACGAAGGTCAAATAATTGGATTTGTGAACACAAATTATTTCCCTACCATGCCGAAACAATATTAGGCAAATGATGAATGGGTTAGTAAAATAACTTTGATTGCACCCAATCAAACAAACCATTGTACATCCATATTTGAATTAAATTATGAGTACAATCACCCCAATTGTGCATAATAATTTAAAAGAACACATGTAAGCAACATTGGGGAATGTTTTATTTATTGTAATCACATTTACTAAGCACAGGCCCAAAGGTTTAAAATGCCACGCAGTCAACAACAAAGATTACTCTTGGAGCAGTAATAGTTAACAGTTACATATCATCATTAGCCATGATCAATACAGTCCTGGATGAAAGCCTTCCCAAGCCACGCTCCCTACCTATCCTCATCTTCCGATGTAATAATACACCTAGCACGCGCACACGATCTGATTTAATTGCTCCATCTTCTCCATGACATGGACTGTCACACACGTTCTCTTGCTTGGCTGCCACTCGCGTCATATTCTTGACCATTGGCCATCATCCCTTACAGCAGTGGTTCTTGACCTGGGGTGCACGCACGAAATGGGGGTAAGAGATGCCCTTTCGGGGGGTGTGAGACATGCCACACTTTTTTTAGAAGGTAAATCGCAAATACAAATTAAGCACAGTCACGTAAGTACAACTACTTTGTTTAATTGATTTAATCTTTATTTATTAACATTGCACATTTTTTTTCGATTGAGAATCAAAGGGGGGTCGGTGCAGGCTGCAGTAAAGGTTAAGAGCCACTGCCTTAATGAAACATTCCTGCCCAAGTCGCCTTGTGTTTCTTGACCGTTTGAATGATTGCATTCACCTGCCAATGTTCCCTTATCCATGAGTCCCTCTTACTGTCTCTCGGTGTCATTCCAAGCATGCTTTTCTTAATGCTTCTTTGCGCATTTCATGAATAAAGCCAGCTTGTGTGAACTCTAGAAAAAAGAGACGCTAGGGGGAAGAACAGAAGCCTAGCGTGGTTAAACGCAAATTGTTGGATGGTTGAATGCATTGCATCTGTATGCGCTGCAATAATTAACCCCGAAACTTTGAATCCCAGGCCGCTGAGCTACTGGATGAACCGCGTGCTGTCTGCCCTCTACTGCTCCGAGAACGGCCAGCTGGGCTCGTTCCACGAGGCCACGGGAACCTGCGCGTGCCCCAAGTCCTCGCTGGGCTCCGTGCTGACCGGTGCACCGGCGGCGGCGACCTGCCAGCGGCCCCTCGGCTGCACCGTGGGGGCCGCTGGCGCCTGCGCCGTCTGCCCGACCAGGGACCAGCAGAGGCCGCAGCAGACGCAGAGGTGCGTCGCCTGCAACCCGGGCTACGCGCTCACGTCGCAGGGCCGCTGCGAGCTGACGATGGCCGACCCCGACCTCCTGGAGCGCCTCGTGAGCTTCGAGGCGCCCGAGTTGGACCTTCACGACGACGAGCTCCACGGCCTGCTGGCGCGGCGCGACCACCGGCTCGTGGTGCCCGCCAACTTCGTCAGCAACGACATGCGCCTGGGCAGCTGGTTCGACCCGGCGTTCCGAAAGCGCATGCTGGTCACCCTCAAGAGCAACAAGCTGAAGCCCAACGCGGTGCACATGCTGCTGGGAATCGCCCTGCAGCTCTGCCAGACCAAGAACAGCACCCTCGAGCCGCTCATGGCGATATACGTCAACCCCTTCGGCGGCAGCCACACGGAGAGCTGGCACATGCCGGTGGGCGAGGAGTCCTCCACGCTGGCGGTCCCCGCGAGCGTGGAGGACGAGACGGAAGACGCGGCGGCGGAGGAGGACGAGGAGGAAGAAACCGGCGCCAGGAACGCCGCGTACAGCGAAGCGGCCGCGCCGGGCTCGCGCTACCCGAGCTGGGAGATCGTGAGGCTGGACAGCCCCGGCGCGCAGTGCTACAACTACAGCATCATGCTGGGCGCCGAGCGGAGGACCCTCTTCGAGACAGTGCACGTGTACCTGCGCAGCCAGCCGCGCAACGACACCAAGCAGCAGCAGCAGCAGCCTCCCGCCGAGCCGCCGGCCGATGCTCGCGGCCACGGCCACATGAAGGTGAACGGCGTGCAGGCGTTCGGCTACAGCACGCACTTCGACGCCGACGCCATGCGCGACATGGTGCGGCGGGTGGACCGGCAGGCCGCTGTGGCGGCCGCCGCCGCCGCCGCGGCTTCGTCGCCGGGGTCGGCCGCGAGATCGGCGCCGTCGCTGCTCCTGCAGCAGGTGGGGTCGTCGGCGGAGCGCGAACGGACCAGGGAGGCCCTGCAGCTGTTGCTGGAGGCGCGCGACCGCGTGAACCGCTACGCGCCCCTGAGTCAAGAGGCCGACCGACCCCGCCTCGACCTCTTCTCCTGCCTCCTACGCCACAGGCTGCGCCTCAGCCTGGGCGAGGTGGGGCGCGTGGGGGCGGCCCTGCAGGCGTACAGCGCGGGGCTGCCCGGCTACGCGGGCTACAAGACGTCGCCTCTGTGCTGAGGCGAAGCGCCGAAGCCGTTCGTTACAGCCTACTGTTGCGGTGAATTTCATCGTGCACCCAACGAGAATGACTGCAAAACAAAAAAGAAAGGACTTCAGCTGTTGTTTCCTTTTTTAAATTCGGAAATGTCAGCGGCCTCTGGTTTAGTTTTTTTGCTTTTGCAAACGGAGACAAACGTATGAATTTGGGAAGTGATTGGTACAAGTCTGTAGCCATACCTTGTAGTGCTTGTAATATGACTGGCTGATTTAAGAAATTTGGGTGGGGGGGATGGGGATGGGGGGGGGAAATGATTATAATAATTTGGTTGTCAGGGATTGGTTCCTACAAGTTAATAATGTTTCGAGTAGCACACAGAAAGCAAGTGCTTTGTTTTTATTGGGTTTGTTTTGTCACGTGTTTTGTGCAATCATGTACATATCTTAAGAATGTTTACAGGGGGCTTATAAATGCTTCAGTTTTTATTGTGTAAGTGTGCGACCAGCCTAATAGAGGAGGCTACCATAATTTTACTCAAGCATACACCACGTTAAACAGACTGTCCATATTTATGATACACGCAGAACTACAGACTTACTTTTAAATACATTTAGTCCATCGGAAACAATAACTTATTCATACAAAGATAAATTTGAGGGTTATTTTGCAGATGCTATTCACTTCTTCTTATTCATCGAATGTTTATGTTTCTTCTTCTTGTTTCTTTCGGTAAAGTCACGTAGAAGGGAAGTAATAAAATAATAAAAATAAAACATAATAAAACAATTCTCACGACGTTTCGGCTACAACGCAAGCAGCCGTCTTCAGGTGAAGAATGAGACACTACCAAACTAGGAGCTTATATATAAGCTGCATTGGGGGTTGAAGAGCGCCTTAACAAAAAGAATGTGCATGTGAAGAGGGATTTAGCATATTCATGGAAAATGCGTAGGCGTTGGGCGGGGGGGTGTCAAAGTCATATTATGCCCATGCATTATGCAGGATCAGCAGCAACCAAGGGGGGTGCAGGGATTAGCAGTAACAAAGGAAAGGAATGTTAATGATATGTAGCTGCAGTTACTCAACAACCACGTAGAAAACTAAAGTATAAACTACATAAAAAACTAAAGTATAAACTGCATCGCACCATCAGTATACTTACTATACTCTATAATAAGCTGAGTTACTAACAGCAAGTAATACATTACAATTTTACCTCGTAAAAATTCTATAATATGCTTCCATCTAAACCTTATTCTCTTACATCACACGAGCATATACCGTACTATATACTGCCATAGATAAACCCAACATTAAATTATATACTGTATTGCTGTAAACCAACCTATATCTTATACATTTAATATCACACTATGTATTATTCTACACACCCTAATGTGTATCGAAATGGTTTATTACGTCCTTCCAATGATTGCTGAGCCAGAATCCATCTTCTCGGTTAAAGTTGTCTCTGTGTTTGTATATGTGGATCGCCTCATGAACGAATCTCTCATGATAGCCAGATGGCTTGCAGAGAACCTCTGTCTTGGAGAAGTCAATATCATGTGAGCCCACTGAGTTGTAACAGTGATCTGCCACGGCTGAGGTGTTAGTCGTGGCAGATCACTGTTACAACTCAGTGGGCTCACATGATATTGACTTCTCCAAGACAGAGGTTCTCTGCAAGCCATCTGGCTATCATGAGAGATTCGTTCATGAGGCGATCCACATATACAAACACAGAGACAACTTTAACCGAGAAGATGGATTCTGGCTCAGCAATCATTGGAAGGACGTAATAAACCATTTCGATACACATTAGGGTGTGTAGAATAATACATAGTGTGATATTAAATGTATAAGATATAGGTTGGTTTACAGCAATACAGTATATAATTTAATGTTGGGTTTATCTATGGCAGTATATAGTACGGTATATGCTCGTGTGATGTAAGAGAATAAGGTTTAGATGGAAGCATATTATAGAATTTTTACGAGGTAAAATTGTAATGTATTACTTGCTGTTAGTAACTCAGCTTATTATAGAGTATAGTAAGTATACTGATGGTGCGATGCAGTTTATACTTTAGTTTTTTATGTAGTTTATACTTTAGTTTTCTACGTGGTTGTTGAGTAACTGCAGCTACATATCATTAACATTCCTTTCCTTTGTTACTGCTAATCCCTGCACCCCCCTTGGTTGCTGCTGATCCTGCATAATGCATGGGCATAATATGACTTTGACACCCCCCCGCCCAACGCCTACGCATTTTCCATGAATATGCTAAATCCCTCTTCACATGCACATTCTTTTTGTTAAGGCGCTCTTCAACCCCCAATGCAGCTTATATATAAGCTCCTAGTTTGGTAGTGTCTCATTCTTCACCTGAAGACGGCTGCTTGCGTTGTAGCCGAAACGTCGTGAGAATTGTTTTATTATGTTTTATTTTTATTATTTTATTACTTCCCTTCTACGTGACTTTACCGAAAGAAACAAGAAGATGAATCCCTGCAGTCACGAAAGCTTTAAATCGAAGTTTATGTTTCTCTTCGCTAATATCCAAATTGGCATTTTGACGCAGAAATAAACATACTCCAAACATACATCAACACGTTTAGACTGTAGGATATTTTGTGCTTAAGATGCGTTGTTTTTTTGGCAGTATTGGCGTGAATTTGTACGTGCGCATTTGAGGAAAAGAAACACTTTAGAAAACGCAATAGTTAGGACGAACTTCTATGGCGCATCATCTCGCATTTAGTGAGGACCCAGTGTGCTTGGTGCTTCTAGCTGTGTGCAATCAGTTGAGCTTTTTTGGGGTCAAATCAAGACCGTTTTTTGGCATTTGTGTAATGAATGTTGTAACAGCATATTCTGCTCGATAAATTGTCTGACAAAGCTGGATACTCTTCTGTGGCGGGATATCAAACAGGACCAAGTCCGCTCCTGTCAAAAATATCTAAATGCATAATTGAGCAATGCGCCAAGTTTAAATGATTAATGACAACAATCAAATTTTTTGTTCTTTTCAGTCATATACCGAAGCCGTAAGGGATCGTTTGTGTAAGTGGGTCACCCCCAGGCGTCCATTACACATTTAAAGTTGCGAGGAGAAAAAGAGATGAGAAAAAAAAATCGGACAAATTATTAATAATTGCAATTAAATGTCAAAGCTGAGCACAGAACTGAAAATGAAAATTGATTTCTCATTTGATACATTTTTTTCCCGGCTCTCTTTGAGATGCGCCTTAGAGTCGTTACCGCATGTTGTTCGGCATGATATCCGACATTGCGCTGCACGTGCTAGGTGCTTCTTCAGGAACTGATATCCGATTTTGATTCCAATGTACTGAGAGCTTATTCGCGAACCTGGTCAGGAAATGAATATCCGGTTCAGTTGCGCGTCTCTGCTGTAAGGCAACAACGTCAATGTCTGTTTTCCTCAGGTTTCTGGCCAGGAAGTCATATTTAGGTCTTGATTGTCATTGGATGTTGAGTTGGTTCACTAAAAGACTTCATCAAATCGGTCCCTGGCTCGTGAAAAGGCCTCTTTTCGGCATTCAGCTCTCCTGGCCATATCTGCATTTTAATTTGGAACGGCTATTTCGCCTAGTGACTGTATTAGTTGTCTTTAAGGTAACACGAAACACGACACAGAGTGTTGGGCTCCGAATAAAGGCTGGCATCTCCCTTCACCGGAGGAATCGCAAAAGCGTCACAAAACCCTCTCATGCATTCCCCTTGGTGGCTAGCAGAGCTTCACATTGCCATTTAGCTGCCGAACGAACGTATTGCCGTCCTGCGCAATAATCGCATAGATTTCAGTCCACGAAGAACTCCCAGTACGGGGAAATGTCGGACTTGGTGCCGAACAAACACGTGGTGTGACTGGGAAACTCACCCTGAGAGCCGTGCAGCACAACTGCTAAAACGTACGCCGTGAGTTGATTTTCTTTAGTGACGAACATTTCACGACGATGAATGCATTGCAACAGAGAGCTGAATGTCAGTCGTGTTCTTGGAATGTACACAAATATCTGGATGTCCAAATAGTGACCTTCTGCTTCAACAACTTACACACTCTTGGCTTGAAGATTCAACGATGCCAACCTTCGATAAGACAGCATAGGACGTGTAATGTACGGTACTTATTAATTTATAGAATGTTTGTATTATATTAAAAAAAAAATATTAATGAAAAAAAGAAGCATGGCGTTTCATGTTCAACAAACACTGTTGTCGGATGATGGATAAATGGCTTCTAATAAAATATTTAAACAAAACATGGCATTCACATGGTTCTCAATTCACACAGTACACACAAGACAGACGACATCTAGGCCACTAGCATGCAACTCGATTGATTTAATCCAGTCATCGCCATATCATTATCGTCATCGGCTATGGTCAATCCACTGTTGGATGAAGGCCTCCCCAAGACGTCTTCGTGTCTCATCATCCTGCGTAGTAATAATCCACATATCCTCCAACACACCGGTGGGCTGAAGTAGTCTCTAATTGTAACGTTTTGTTGACATGATAAGCCTCACTAATTGGCTGTGTCGGGTCGTGGTTAACAGCACATTTGTATTTACGCGATCTAACCCCCCCCAAAAAAAATCTATTACGAACATTGGTCACGAAAGCCTACGTGGCGAATCCACGTAGGACCTACAAGAGGAGCCGATTGAATCGCTCCATCTCCTTGGTTTACGGGCTAACCGACATGCGTTTTTCGCCCTATGGCTGCGACTGCATCATTATTCCTCACCACCAAGCGTCATCCCTTTGAGCGACGTGTGAATGATGTAATTAACCGTGCATATGTTCTCAAAACAATAACACGTTCCTACAAGCAGGCATCTCTCTTTGCTTTTTAAAAATCGGAATATTAAAAAAACCTCGCACAAATGTTTAACGGCAACGTACAGTATACCGTCCCTTTTAATAATAAAATTTAAAAGTGACAATTAGTGAGGTTTCTCTGTTGTGCCATGTGCCTGCCATATGGACGGTCCCCCACGTGTCCTACTGTGTTGGATACGAAAGCCGTGACGAATACGGGTTGTTCTTTCTTTTCTTTCTGCCCGCTAACTTTCTTCGCGGCTAATTGGCTTTTTCTAATGAAAGCTCTCATAAATTCTAAATCTCGGAATGAATTTGCCTGGGTTCAAAGTGTTTGTGGCACACAATGGGGAGTGGGTGAGCGGCGGGGGGGGGGCGAAACGCATTAGCGTGTGCTCGTCGAGAGCGTTTTCAAAGCCGTCTTGAGACCGTGATGCTTGCATAAGGGGTCAGATTAATAAAAAAAAAGAATTAACTGCGAAAAGGCAAGCACTCTATTTCCCCCCGTAAAATTAACTGCTGCATCTTTAGCTATTATTTAAAATAATAAGAACCTTGGAACAATAACCGCTTTCTACGATGGTAGAACACCAGCCACAATGGAATTACCTTCCTGCTGTATAAACCAAAATGTGCGTTGCTCTGGGGGAATTGGGATGGTGTAAAAGGGAGTCCTGTTAAGCGGATCAAATGCACACCTAAGCGTAAACGCCGTTCTTCCTCGAGTCAGCAACATGTTACGAAGATTAATAATACTACAAAAATTTACAATAACAAAGTTGTATAAGTGACTTACTGCTATTGACTGGAAGCAACATTTAATTAAGATTTTTTTTTTCCCCGCTCAGAATTACCATCGG